TACGCGATAATTCGTATAGTTTCTGCGATTGATGGTTAATTTTAAATGTACGTATAGTACTATATAACAGCATAACTGGATCGTCATGTTCACCATCTGTCATTGTCTGCAAAAATATTTAATAGCAGTTACCTGTGTTGTGATACTTCCTTCAATGAAAACTAATTTTCTTGCATTGCCATGGTCATCTGGGATGAGGCTGGTCCACTGATCATTCGGAATGAGCTCTCCACACATCATTGAATCAATGTAGGATCAATGTAGATATGTAGATATCAATGTACATAGATGGTGTCATATGCAAAGTGCGAAAAGAGAATGAAAGAAATACGAAAAAGATTAGCATCAAGAAGTAACAGTTTCATCGGATTAGTCACCAAGTCCCCCACCACTGCTATCTGCAGCCCTATCACTCCCATCCCCACGATTGCGGAAGAGAATAATAAAGTTCTTGATTTAATTTAAAGAAATTAATATTTAATATCGGGATCCGTATTCGGTTTCCCCATCGGGATCCGTATTCGGTTTCCCCATTGAGACACGTACTCGGTTTCCCCATCGGGATCCGTATTCGGTTTCTCCATCGGGATTCGTATTCGGTTTCCCCATCGGGATCCGTCTACGGAATCCCTATTGGGATGCGTATTCGGTTTCCCCATCGGGATCCGTATTCGGTTTCCCCATCGGGATCCGTATTCGGTTTCCCCACCGGGATTCGTATTCGGTTTCCCCATCGGGATCCGTCTACGGAATCCCTATTGGGATGCGTATTCGGTTTCCCCATCGGGATCCGTATTCGGTTTCCCCATCGGGATCCGTATTCGGTTTCCCCATCGGGATTCGTATTCGGTTTCCCCATCGGGATCCGTCTACGGAATCCCTATTGGGATGCGTATTCGGTTTCCCAATCGGGATCCGTATTCGGTTTCCCCATCGGGATTCGTATTCGGTTTCCCCATCGGGATCCGTATTCGGTTTCCCCATCGGTATCCGTATTCGGTTTCCCCATCGGGATCCGTATTCGGTATCCCCATCGGGATCCGTATTCGGTTTGCCCATCGGGATCCGTATTCGGTTTGCCCATCGGAATCCGTCTACGAAATCCCCATCGGGATCCGTCTACGGAATCCCCATTGGGATCCGTCTACGGAATCCCCATCGGGACCCGTATTCGGTTTCCCCATCGGGATCTGTCGATGGAACCCGTCATCGGGACCCGTCATCGGGACCCGTCATCGGGATCCGTCTACGGAACCCGTCATCGGGATCCGTCTACGGAACCCGTCATCGGGATCCGCCTACGGAACCCGTCATTTTCCACTTTATTTTAGCTTTTAGTAGGGGTAAGAGGGGCATAGTGAACAGGTGGGGCATAGTGAGCATCCAGCTTGAACTTCCGGCTGTTCGGAAAAAAAAAATTGTTGGTGGTAGGATCAATATCATAATGATATTGAACCTACTACCAGTTGATTTGTTTCATGCAGCTGGAGATCCAAAGCCAAACTGCGGGATGCTCACTATGCCCCTCTTCCCCTATTTATTTATTTATTTGTCAATCAAATAAAACAAAAAACAATAAACACATTCACTAACCTGCAAAGAGATCCGGCTTCGAATTCCCCGCCGGGATCCAGCTTCGGACTCCCTACCGGGATCCGGCTTCGCACTGGTGCACTTTCCTAAAAAAAAACATAATTACAGTACATTAATTTAAAATTTTAAATTTTACTTACCTGAAAAACAGCCTTCCTTTTCCAAGGGCGATCGCGGGACTCGCAATCTTCGAAACTGGCGGGGGTCCAGGTGTGGGAGCTGCCTTCCTGGCACGTCGGTAGCATTGGTGCTCAGCACGGAAAACAAGATCGACGGAAAAAACAAACCAAAGGATTTGCCGCAACGCCGGACACCGAATCGCCACCAAAACTCGCGACGGACACGGCGAAAAAAAAACTGTACACGGCCAATGTGATCAACCCAAATTTGAATACAGTGTACTCAAAATCGCAAAAAATGCAGGAACGCAGCGATGAGTAAATTTGCCTCGAGATGTGCCTCATGTTTTCCGGTGGAAAACTTCAAAAATCTTCCGGAAAATTAGGATTGACGAAAATCCACAGAATCCAATCTTTACATTTCTTATATTCGGAAAAATTTTACTGGAAAAACCTGGAAAACCTGGAAAAACAGAGGTAAATTAACTCAAAACTGAGTTCCTGTACTTTTTGCGATTTATGAGTGAACTAAACTCAAATTTGGGTGTTCTCATTCGCCGTGTAGTGCTGACTCAGGACAAAACAAACTTTGCATGCGACGAGGGACCGAAGGACAACAATTTACATCGTGATGAAGTTTGATTCTAATGTAACGTTAGGTTCTGTTGTAATTGGATGTATTCTGATGTTTTATGCGTGCAACAAATTACATCGTGATGAAGTTTGATTCTAATGTAACGTTAGGTTCTGTTGTAATTGGATGTATTCTGATGTTTTATGCGTGCAACAAATTACATCGTGATGAAGTTTGATTCTTATGTAACGTTTGGTTCTGTTGTCATTGGATGTATTCTGATGTTTTATGCGTGCAACAAATTACATCGTGATGAAGTTTGATTCTAATGTAACGTTTGGTTCTGTTGTAATTGGATGTATTCTGATGTTTTATGCGTGCAACAAATTACATCGTGATGAAGTTTGATTCTTATGTAACGTTTGGTTCTGTTGTCATTGGATGTATTCTGATGTTTTATGCGTGCAACAAATTACATCGTGATGAAGTTTGATTCTAATGTAACGTTAGGTTCTGTTGTAATTGGATGTATTCTGATGTTTTATGCGTGCAACAAATTACATCGTGATGAAGTTTGATTCTTATGTAACGTTAGGTTCTGTTGTAATTGGATGTATTCTGATGTTTTATGCGTGCAACAAATTACATCGTGATGAAGTTTGATTCTTATGTAACGTTTGGTTCTGTTGTCATTGGATGTATTCTGATGTCAAATTTTACATCGTCAAGACGTTTGATTCTGATGTAACGTTTGAGGCTAATGTATTTTTATGTACTTGGATGTCACACTGAAGTCTGAATACATTAAGGGTACAGCAATACACATTAAAATTTAATGTATTGAAGATGTCTGCTGATGTTTCCTACATTACAATTTCTATTCGGGATGTTGCCGAAAGACGTTATCCAACGTCAAAAGAGGGTTGTGAGCATTAATGTTTGCCTTGAGACATAGGAAGCGGAACACTTTTTTACTTTTCCTGATAAATTGATTCATCTGAGATACTGCAAAACTTAATCTACATAGTTGAAAAATTTAAAAAAAGAGATCCTGCTGGTGTTCAGGAATATTTTTGTTGAGAAAAATGGAAAATTAGAAAAGTGCTTTTTGAATGAAAAATGCTGTTATTTGCGTTGGGGAAAATACTTATTCTGATGTAAACAAACGGTTTGATTGACGTTTCTTCTCGAACTCGCGTGGCGCACTCTACGTTGGTGGTGCATTAAAAAGGCGTATTGAGGTTTGCTGGGTTTACAGCTGTCTTGCAATGAGCGCTCATACATAGGATTTCCAGTGAAAACTAGATATATAAGTGTTCATTGCAAGACAGCGTATATCACGTGATATACGCTGTAAGGTGAACGGGGTATTGCATATTTTATGGGTTCACGCTATTTCAACACTATCCCAATTTGAGTAGAATCCACCCATATCGGTAAAAACTGAACCTACCCAAAAATGGGTAAACTGTGTTGGGAGTGACAACCCGTAAAAAAAATACAATGATTTTCATTGTCATTGTAACCATGATATTTACTGTCAAAACATTGGACATTTTTGTCCATTACCATAAAATCACAACGAAATTCATGGTTCACAACAATGAAAATCATGGTATTTGAAAAATTTACAGTAAAAAAGGGGGTTGTTAAGCATCTTAAAAATATAAACGTCCCTTCGAAAAAGTGTTTGAGAATTATCTCGCCAATTATTTTGTGCCAGTGCGCGAAAATTTCAAAATCTAAATCAATACAAAAGCAACAGACAAGTCTTGCTTCATTGAAATAAAGTATTTACAGTAAAACTTTCAAATTCAGATTTTTCAATGAAACATTATTTTAACCTCCCCTAATAAAAATTGTATGGTTAATTTGCTTAACGACGTGTTCTGGGTATCATCCAAACCATTTGTGGAATAGTTCAATGATTTGGGTTATCGTTTGTTTATGGTTATTTTTTATTAGGTATTAACTCAGTTTGAAATATAAGTTTAACATGATTCCAGTTTTGTTTTTTGCTGTGCAGCTCATTTTTATTAATAGAGCTTGGAATTCATCGTATTTCTCAAACAATTCCATATATGGAAACATTGTTAATCATTGAATAATTGAGTAATTTCAAAGTAATTCCTAAAAATATTCAAGTAATCGTAGTAATTTCGGTAATCGAGAGTAATAAAAGTAATTTCAAAGTAATAAAGTAATTTTAATTACTTGAAAAGTAATCCAAGTAATTTTCGGTAATCTGACTGGCACTGACCGGTAATTAACGTTGATAGAAACCCCTCGTCACTATCTATACAGTTTACCCATTTTTGGGTTGGTCCTGTTTTGACCGTCTGGGTGAATTTTACCCAAATTTGGGGAGTTTTGAAATAGCGTGTAGTCCCCTTTTTTCACGAAATCTGTGAAATTTTACATATTAATGGTTACCGTGTATACATTTCAGGGGAAACATGTCAGAAAGGTCTAACTCGAAACGTAAACAATGACTTGGATCGTCGGTTTCTTACGAATGACAACACACCCACTCAAACTAACTAAATCATCTGACAGAACAATGTTTGTTCTATGAGATGGTTTAGTCAGATTCCGTATGTGTGTTGTCATTCAAGAGAAATCGACGTTCAAAGTCATTGTTTATGTTTCGAGTTATACCCTTCTCACATGTTTCCCCTGATTTTAGCAGTCCAGTCACTAGTAAGGAGCGTTGGACTGAAGTCTTTAGAGTGCGTTCGAAAGCTTTATTTTGAAAATGAATTTTAAATATTAGTTAAATATCCATCCGTAAATTTGATACTTTCCAGCACGTTGATCTGAAATAGTGTGTTATGTGATATCAGTGCTAAATATCAAGTAAATTATAATCAGCAACAAATACCCACCATCGAAACCGATAGGTAATATTTTTCTTGGAATTATACAAAACATGATAATTAATTGAAATTTTCTACTTCTAATCGATGTATTTCGTTTTTATTCTAGGAAATTGTGTTATTCAATAGTCGGTTTTACGGTTTACGTTAATATTTCATCAAAATGATCTCGTAATTTAATTTCTGATTCTGGGAATTCAAACAGTGAGTATGTGTGTGTGTGAAGCGTGTATCAATGTATCAATAGATTTTGTTTACGAAAAATGTATTCTCGCTCGTGCTGTTTATCAAAGGCATCATAGGCTATGAGATACTTTGCTCGTTCATTGCCCAACAACATTTTGTTTAGATGTTCGTGCCAAATTATTCAAAATCATGGAAAACGTTGGATGGCAAGATGCGAGCATTTCACTATTCTAAATATTCAATCATTAACTTACCGAGAAAACGTGCCATATGAAGGATTTTATAATTTCATTCTTAAACTCAGTTTGATAGCTAATTAATGGCACTATTTCCTATTTGGGGCAAGATCGCCACCTGGGGCAAGATGAGCACCCTTCAATTTTACATCCAAAATCTAATATTTTTGAAAATTACACATACCTACCCTTAAACAATGATCTTAACATGCAACGTTTACATACATGATTTAGAAATACTCAATAACTTTCGAAATATTTGCTGGATTTCCGAAAAAATATGCCGGATGACAAAAATCCTCTCCTTGTAATAAGAATTGGCTATAATCAACATATTTTTGTTTTGTTTTGTTTAATAATTAATATTTCAACTTCGTGCTGATATTTTATGTTGATAAAGTAGGGTAATTGACTCTGGTTGGACCTATCCAAAAACTGATGATGGTTGGACCTATTTTTTCAATCGCTAGTTTAGTCAATCTTCGCTAATTTTTTTTTTTCAAAGGTCACTTTACTATCATAAAAAAACTATTTCAATTTGCATGGGTGTTTTATTGAGAAAAAAACTTCAAAACAATTGAGTTTCAATGTGTTTTCAAACAGTTCACTTTCTACGCATTAGCTCGTCATCATGCCTTACTTTCAAACATACAAAAAAGAAATATTTTTTACATTTATTTTTATTTTCTCATGCAGTAAAATACTGCTTTAAGGTTTAAACAACACGTTAGTACGCCATTTATCCATTGGTTTCACTAAAATGTTTGAATAAATAACGAAATTCGAATAGATAAATATGATCATGGTTGGACCTATGCATGATGATGGTTGGACCTATGTGTTTCCTAAGACGGTCGCTAGGTGCGCTTCGGTTTGTCTTCATCCTTTATGCGCAGCTGATTTGAAATTCGATTTCGTTTTGGCCGAGTGATCAGTTTCTTCGATTGAAAAAATGGCTAAAGAAAAGAGTTATTCGGTCGAAAATCTTCAAGAGGATTTCCGAGAAAATGAGCCATTATGAATAGCTAATGCGTGGAAAGTGAACTTTTTTAAAAAACGAAGTTAAACTCAAATTTCTTGATTTTTTAAATAGCAAATTCATAAAAACTGTATAAAAAGGGTTTTTTTATGATACCAATAAGCTCTAAACAAAGTTTTTGAAAAAATATGGGCTAAACTAGCATTTGCGAAAATAGGTCCAACCATCATCATTTTTTAGGTCCAACCAAGATCAGTATAGGTCCAACCAACATCATAATTCTTTGCTGAATAAAAACGTTTTATAAAATTATTTGTTCATAATATTTAACTTTTTATGTTATTATTAGAAACAAGAAAGATAAATCTTTCCCCTAATCACGCATTTTTCATAATTATATCACAGACAAACAGACGTAACTCTTTGAAAAAGTTTTTCTTCAAAACATAGTATCTCAAAACATAGGACCTCAGTAACGACATCTCTCGGGCTTCTCGCGGAAAACAAGCTTGCTCACTAACTCGCAAACAATATTGCATAAAATTTCTATAGAATGTATAGAAACGGCAAAGTGATCCGATGCCAGCGTTGCGGCGAGTAGTTCGCGGAACTGATAATATTCAAATAAACCGTTAAATGCGTGAACGAAGATACACAATGAAGTGTTACGTCTGTTTGTCTGTGATTATATGTTGAATTCATAAAAAAATACGACATGAATGTTGACGTCGTGTGAAAACGCCCTAAATAGGTCCAACCATCATCAGTTACCCTAAGGAATATAATCCCCTCCCCATGGACATGGAGGTTGCCGGTACTGAAGCAAAGGGTTATGTTTAATTCTTGGTTGTTAATAGAACTTCCTTGATGCAATCGGCTGCTTCATGCAGACTGAGCAATTCTGATTATAGTATCAGATTTGTTCTGTATACAGAGGAACTGGGAGGGCTTATTAGAAACTTCTCACCAATAAAGTAATGATCTTCTAGTAAATTTTGCATATCATTTTTTTCAAATTTTATTTTATTTTAGCATACTATTTTTGTTACAGTCAATTGACATTAGCATACAATACAAAGATTTAATATTACTTGCTCGTCTTTGTGTAAAATAATCAATAATACCTTTGAAAGTTTTTTTTTTTCAAGTTTTTGTGATCTGATAGATTTCCCAGTTTGGTTAGAAGTTTCGAAGCTAACGCATGTCCACAGGCAGAAAAAGTGTACCATGAATCACAATGAAGCTTGCATGTTCTGTTATATCAGCGAAAAATATGGCAATTCGAAAAGCAGAACTTTAACTTGAACTATGAACGATTGAATTTCAGGATGGGACTGATATGCGATTACTTTGCTTGATGGGACAAACTGACTGTTCGTTCTTTTCACATTCGGGGTAATGTAGTACAATCGCTGCACATAGTTCATTCCATCGCACAGTGGCATTTTTCGAAAATGCATCAAAGTAAATTGAACCTTACGATATTTGCAGTACATAAATTTTTTAAATTAAAAACTGCTATTATTTCGAACAATTTTACCTAGTATCTCACTATCCGGTGCTCCCAAAAAAATTGTATTTTTTAATCGTAAAATTGAACATATTTGTAGTTCTGTGGCGAACGTTTCAGTTCAATTGATCTAAAGAGAACAAAGATACATCTTGTCAAAGTTGTCAATTTTGTATGAAAATCGGCATGCGCTTATATTGAATATCTGTTAATGCTGATTCTGGGTGGTCTGGTTGACATCCCAGCCCAACACGGAACAAGTGAGTGTTTAACGAATAGTGATTGGACATGAGGCGAGACATTATACGAATGAAGTCTCGACCCATCTCCAACCCTTTGAACCAAGGACTTTTCGACGATTCTGTGACACTACCCCGAATGTCACTACCCCGAACGCCATAACCTCGAACGCCGTTACCCCGAATGCCACTACCCAGAATGGCCATTACCCCGAATGCCCTACTACCCCGAATGGCCATTACCCCGAAATTAAGACAAATGGAAGAACAGCAAGGGATCAAAAGAAGGGTACATTTTTTAGAAGGAAATTTCGTTTTGGAATTTATACTGAATACAAATGATAATTTTTTATTAGAATTTAGAAGCACTTAATTTGCTAATATAATTATTATGTCTAGGTACATATAAGAGCATTTTTAAAATTGATTCATGTAAATCAGTGAAGCAAGTGTTCACTATGATTCGCGAACTTTTCCCTACGCATAGCGCATTATTGTGTGATTACTGCGCACTACTTCCAACACTATGTTCAACATACAGAACAAAAGTAAAATGGTTTCTCGCTGATGGGTTATTCCAGTTTTCATCTATACCAATAATATTTCATATTAAGTATTAGATCATAATATGGGAGTACTACGAAAGGCCGAATTACAAAAGGCCGAAATACACAAAAGGCCGAATCACGAAAGGCCAAAAACACAAAAAGCCGAAAAAACTACGAGTTTTTTCGGCCTTTTGTTAATTTGTTAATAAATTATATTTCATTTTTAAAATAAAGTTAGAATTATCATTATTCTGCATCCTCGAAATAAAATATAACGGAAGCTACTTCATAGCCATTCGATTTTCGTAATGAAAATTAAAAACAAAACTTAAAATTTGGGCAGCTTTATTTTTATGTTTGTTATATCCCGTTCACATTACAGCCTATATGCGCTGTAATGTGAACGGGGTATTATACCCCGTACAGACTATGGCTTATATCATGTAATATAGACTGTCTTGCAATGAGCACTCATACATCTAGTTTTCACTGGAAATCCTATGTATGAGTGCTCATTGCAAGACAGCCTATATGACATGATATAAGCCATAGTCTGTCCGGGGTATTAGAGTGTTTAACGACGATTTAATGACAAGATGGCTTCGTTTTTTATGAATGCGATTCAATGAGGCGGCTCAGTTGTAAGAGCAGAAAGGCTTCAGATTGTGAACAGCAAACAGCAAATTAAGTGTTTCTAAATTCCAATAAAAAACTATCATTGATTCTATAATATTCCCCAGAAAACATTTCCCCAGAATGCACCATTCCCCAGAATGCACCATTCCCCAGAATGTACCATTCCCCAGAATGTACCATTCCCCAGAATGTACCATTCCCCAAAAAAGCATTCCCCAGAATTTATCATTCCCCAGAAAAGATGATGAAATTAGTAATTTATCACTTTTGTTTTGGCCATTTGATATTATATTTCAGTTTTATATTACAGAACAGCTTAATATACATATTTTATTTATTACAAAGCGCCAATGCAAGGCCCTGAATATGGATCTCTCCATCCATTGACGTAGAAAAACGTAGTAAGTGATTATCTTGCACACTGAATAATACATCTTCTGAATACAAATTTTCTCGATAAATTTTACACATTTGATTTAATATATTTTTTATGATTAAACTCTCTGATTAGTTTCACTTTACTAAATTGACGTTTACTTTTATGGAACTATGTATTTATCAATTCCAAACCATTTTATAGCTCTTAAGAAAATGACAACCTTCAAGTTTTCGAGCACTTTGTTCACCATTTAAAAAGTCAAAGGGTCTAATATGCAATCCAATTCAACCAGTCGGAAACTGTCAAACCTTATCAAAGAATTGTTCGACCTGAGTTGAAGAATTTCTCGTTATGGATTGAAAAATCGGTGCATGGAACGTTGAACTATCGATTACAAATTTATAACATTATTCCACACGTTATTATCCCAAATGGTCATTACCCCGAATCCCTTGCCAAAAGCTATTGATTGCATATTTTCCTTATATATTAAAAGAAGGGAATATTCCCTTCTTTACCATACATCCAAAGAATTAATTATTTTCTCTTTTATATATTCAAAGAAAGGAATATTCCCTTCTTTATCGTTTATCCAATAATTAATTATTTCCTTTTGTTCTATTTTCAAAGAAGGGAATATTCCCTTCCTTATCATATATTTAACGAATTGATTATGTTCTCTTTTATATATTAAAAGAAGGGAATATTCCCTTCTTTATCGTATATCCAAAGAATTAATTATTCCTATTGTTATATTTTCAAAGATGGGAAACCCCCTTGAGCCATTAAGAGGCTGTTCATTAACTACGTAGACAGTTTTTTTGGGATTCTTGAACTCCCCCTGCGTAGACAATTTTCCATAGAAATTTTTTAAAATTTGTATGGACCGTGCACGGCGTTCGGGGATATGGCGTTCGGGGTAGTGTCACAGAATCCTTTTCGACACCATTTAGAGATGATCGAATATAGTCATCGTCCCAAACTCTCTTCACTCCATTTATTTTGCCAGCTGGCGAGCGACTTTTGACGGTAAATTATGAAAAATTCATTGTAGGCGATTTACGATATAAAGCAAAGCAAATTTACGAAATATGAAGTACAGTAAATCCTAGCTATGTTTGCATGATAATTTCGTTTGTTTGTATTCTTTTGTAAAGTCTTCGGGAAAAACCAGCTGGCGTTATCTATTTTTATAATAACTCCTTTCTTGAAAATGGGCAAAACCTCACCGGCAGCGGCAGGCTGCTTTTTAATGTTATACAGTTTGATTTTGTCGCGCTTATGTTAAATTCTCATTTGGTGACGGTCGAAGCGCGCGGCTCATAAGCGCGCTATAACCCCGCCCATAAGGATTATACACAGGTGTGTAACTATGAGATGGATAATAACTAGGTAGGTCATGACTTTTCATACACATTTTCTGCCAGTTGGTGAAAGGTCATTTGGATTCAAGCTGCTGCACGGGTAAGTTGAACAATTATTAGCTGCGTCGTGGGTGATTTGCCCATAATTAATATCGGTGGATTTTCACATTTCTGGCGAACCTGGAATCTTGGAGACCCCCAATAGGTGATAAAGGGCAAATCACGCACTTGCAAGGAAAATTGGCCGGGACGGCCGTTCTGAGAAACGAGTGATGACGGATTTGCAAAAAAATCGTCTCCTCGTATTGTTAAGTCCACAGAAATAGAACGCGACCATCCGTACGTGGCCCGCAATGACACCACGTTCAGTGGCCGTAAGATAAAATACGTAGTACAGTACAGACGGGTGAGGACTACCTTACCCCAACCCAGCGGGCTTAGCGCCAGATCAGACGACTGAAGGAGCTGCTCTCGCAAGCTCGCATAGACCTGGAGCAGCGTGATACTGAAATTCTAAGACTTACTAAAGAGGTTGTTGAGCTGCGGCTCTTCAAGGCATCGCTCAGTTCCCCGGAGGAACGTTCAAATTCCAGTGACGCCGTAACGGTGCGGGAGAACACCACCAACGATGCAAACACGCCCAGCTCTCAGGGTATTTAACCGATTGCGGATCAAACGGACTAGTGTAGCAAAGCTAGTCCCCGGCATCATCTGCACAATCATGGCATCCACCAGGTGCAGTTCATGGACAAGATGTCCACCTCGGAGATGCAGAGCTCGTTTGCCGATTCTAGACATTTCAAGGACGTTACGACCTCGTCGATCCATTCCAAGGATTCGTACGTACACACGCAGGATTGTGCTTGCGGAAGCGACAATTAAATTGATGCCGAGAAGCAGTGGCTTGTCGAGATGTACAAAGCTCGCATTGAGTAGCTAGTTAAACAGCAACAGGCAGATGAACAGCAGTATCGCATGTCCAACAATGCGTTAGGACGGAATTGAAACTCGTAGAACGAATTTAGAATCAAGAAGCATTAGAGTAGAGAACTACTTCGGCCTAATCGCCCATTTTGGGCCTATCGAGCAGAAAACTTCAAATAAATCCATGATTTCATAGTTAACAAATCAATTATGCGTTAGGTACGATACTTTAGTTAATAAGTTACCGAACGAAGTCAATGAGAACGCGTGATATGAACACACTTAGAAAATATTACCGAACTCGGTTTGATTTCAACCGAGTTTTTATCTGCTGAACGCTCGGTAGTCTGTTCGGAATAACCGAGCTGTCGTTAGTTCTTTTTGTTACCCACAATCTGTCAAAGTTACCGAAAATCTCGGTTGACAAAAAATAAATTTTAGCAGAAATAACCGAACATCGGTTTACTCAAGAATTACCGAACGCTGTCAAACAAACCGACCCACCTGTTGTAATTACGGAATTCAGTTCTCTTGAGCAGCGCACGGTTTTGACTTCAAACTCTGCTTTAAATTTTGATTAAGGAGGCGTTGCTTCGAACTTTCATAAAAATAAAACCAGTTGTGTCAAAGAAATGTATAAAATATATTTATTTAATTTGTTTTGGCAACGAGTTACAGCGTGGAAAAGCACAGTTAAAAAAAATATCGCTGACTTTGAAGTCATTCTTATTCAAATGGTTTTTAAAATGCCTTTGCAAGCCAGAGACATAACCTTGTACCTCACCTTGTACATTTTCACGGCAGTAGAAACTAACTATAGCACAAGATGCCTGCAAATAAAATCATACCGTTAGTTTCAAATACTCACATAATATGTATGTCATTCAAATGTGCATCCTCCTGTTGCACCTGCAGAACTTTTTCCATTTTTACTTAAGTTTTGCACACGTCCAACGAGCACACGTGAGAAAAAATGGCTGACTAATTTTAGACTCCGTTTAGAGAACCGAGTTTTCGGTTAAATTTTCCGCAAGTGGAACGTTTAACGTTTAAGCGTTTGATGTTTAACACGTTTTAGCAATATTCGGTTCAGTTTACCGAGTTTCTCGGTTTTCACGTAGCGAATTCGTAAATGTCGATACTTTACCGTACTTTTCGGTTCAGTCTTCATTTATATCTGTCTGTCGGGTCTGCTTGGATAAATACGTCTGAAAAAATGTTTTTAAACCATTTATTCGGTTTCTCGTTGGTAACCGAAGAGTCGGTAGAAAATGAAACCGAGTTCGGTATTATTTTCTTAGTGTGAAGGTTTGCACCCATTATTCCCAAAAAACAAAAGAAGCGCTCCGACCGAATCAATTGTTATCTTCATCCGATATGCCGTTTCAATGGCGTTTTAATGCGTTAGACCGAGTTTGGCGTCAATAAGCAGTGTTAGACTTCTCTGCGCTTCGGTCAGAGAGCGTATAGGGCGTCGTTGTGCCAATTTGGTCGTGGCACATTTCGAGTATGAGTATGAGTAATTGCAGTTAGATCAAAAGTGCCTGAGAAAAATGCAAGTACTTTCGCAGATTACCCGAAGTTGCGATAGTGAAGGTATGATCACAGACAAGCAGACATAACACTCTTAAAACGTTCATCAAAATAGTTTTAACGGTAAATTTAAATGTTTCTTAGTTGGTAGTACTGACACTTGTGGTGCATATAATCAATTCCTTAGCGTTTGACGTTTACACACTACAACCATCTGTTGAGTGTATTGCCCATCATAGTGTATACGACAGATGGCGGTAGGGTTTACAATGATAAATGTTCAATGTGTTTTGTCTGCTTGTCAGTGATATAACATTGAGGTAACGTTAGGATAAAATCAAAACATTGAGAAATATTACGCATCACTTTCAGAAATACTTCACTTCGCAACCGATGAACCATTCTGACGGCCATATGAGTATCCAAGTAACCATATAGTCGCAATATAGCTTGTATATTTTTACTTTGCTTGAGTATGGTTAGTTAGGGAATCTGATGAAACTGTCACTTCTTGAAACTGATCCCTTTCGTATTTCTTTCATTCTCCTTTCGCACACGGAACGCTCGGTGGACCAGCGACTTTGAACGTGAGCCTCGTCCCAGATCACCATGGCAATTCAATAACATATGGTAGACATCAAACCGACCAAAAAAGGCGGTATCATATTAGAACCAACCAACCAAGGACGATCTACGGAAGAAAATTGCCCGTGAAGCACGAAATAAAATACGAAGCGTTAGAGAAAAAGTCCAAGGGATTCCAAAGTAAGCAATTAACGACCTCGCTTTTTGGGAAACGTTGTTATGTTTAGTAGGACGGAAATTAGTTAAAAACCCTATAGAATGTGGGGAACAAGCAGGTGCAAAAACTAAAGTGTACCTCGCACACATTTTGTACTGTGCACAATCCCGTGTTTAAACCCGTATACAAACAATATACACAATAGTGTATGGCGTGAAACAAACAGCTAAACATTCGCTTGGATTTTTGTACACAAGCTCAACATGATACATGTTTTCATGAAGACTGCTAGTTAGAATAAATAATGTACATTAGACTGATGCTAAATTTGAAATTTTGGCTCCACAGTGCTCAAACGGCTGCATATTGAATCCTGATTAGCCTTCCAAAATATGAACGAAACTTACTTGGCACAAACCATTTGAAGTTTATATGAATATTACTATGGGAAAACCAACTCTTTTGTTCATATTTATCTAGAAATTCACCATATTGCTCTGCTTTAAAAAATGATACCTGAGATTGTTGGAAATTTTCTCAGGTACAACTTTGTTGAAAATCGCTTTCCGATAAAAAGTAAGAAACAAAAGTTATTAATGATTCATTCTGGAAGGTTGTGGCTGAGAAAATTTCCCATAAGAATAGCCACTGAACTTTTGAACATTGCAATTTGGAAAAAGTTTGGTTTTCCCATATTAATTCCATATAAACTTCAAATGATTTGTGCCAAGTAAGTTTCTTACCAAATAAGTTCAATTTTTGGGAGACTAATCAGGACCCAATTTGGAACCGTTTTTTAGTACTGTGGAGCGAAAATTACAAATTTTGCATCAGTCTAATGTACATTCTATTCGATACTTCTTGAGGGAGATGGCGTTAGCGGCAAACTAAACCGGTATTTTCATTAAAATAATTTGCAATAACCCCCTTATTTCATTGTTTCTTAGCAAGTCATGTAACATATTACTTTTGAATGTGGAGTTTGAAATTTGCGGTTTTATTTTTTTATCTTATCTGATTTTTTTGGCGTATTTTGAAATGTACTTATTTCATATTATTTTTCTTTTTGTTATTTTAGTATAGAGTTGTTAGGTACTTCAAATTATCAATTATCCTTTTTTCTCTTTTCAATTGTTGTTTAGAATCGGTTGCGCGTTTGTTCGTTTTTTCGGTTTTCTGTTTGAATTTTGGGCTTTTTTGGTTTTCGAAGTTCTGTTGGTGGTATTCGCTAAAAAATTGCTAGAGACGCATACATTTGTTTGCTGATGAACCACTGCATGAGAGAACCAAAGATCGAGTCTAGCAGTGATAGTATCACACTTGTTACTCCTTTGTTGAGAGCTGCGTTGTAGTACGCTTAAGTATAGGCACTGACGTTGGGTGCGATACTGGCTGGTTTTTTCATGGAATGATTGATATGTGCGGTAAAATAACTAAATTGAAGCAAAGCTCAATAGTAGAATAAGTAGAATACCTAGAGAGGAAACCAAAATTAATCAACTTGCCAACATAGGCTATCACATTTATTTTGGTGGCACTCTTTAAAAGATAAGCTGTTTTTTCTCTACGGTTGTCTCGCGCCGCGTTCGCAATTTGCGCGTTTTTCGTAACTTACATAATTTAGATATTTCGTTCGAAACGGATTTACTTATTCAATCGTATTACTACGCGGATGTATCTACGCGCACACGTAACAGCATTTTTTCCATAACTGTATTGAAACAATACACACGGAATCCACCCAACTAACAATTGCCTATTGTAGAAACGAATTCTTGACGATTTTATTCAACTGCATTCTTAATAATACTTGTACTATTTCGAATAATAACTTCTATTCAGGCTTCACACAAATCTGGAGAATTTATTCAACCACAACATTGAAATATTTGGTGTTGAATAAGGTATGTCGAGAAGCTTTTATTCGACTTACAAGAGTTGTAACAGAGCTTATTCGATCAATTTTTTGATTATTCAGCGTTTATTAGACATCATTACTTCCTTAAACAGCGATGATATAAAGGTGTATGTAGTCGCTTGATTCTCATTTGAAATAATGTTTAATTAGACAGTATTATACATTTATTAAACGATTATTCAACTACGAGATAATTAATCCGGAAATAAGAACGGGGCAGAGCTGGGTTGTTCTAGTTATTGTGATTGTTGGTGTCAGTATTTCTTTCGAAGCACGCACCCACCCACAACAACAGATACTAGAAAATTTATTACATACATACATACACACATGTCGTTAATAGGGGGGATTTGAACCATGACTTTCCGATCACCAGCCGCTTGCCGTGCCATCTGAGCTATCCTAGAGTACATTATATGGGCGGGCAACTAAATAAGTAATACAAGCTTCAATCTGAATACCTATCAGCACTCCCAGTCGTGACTCTAGCTAGTTCAAGGAGATGTGAGAATGATTTATTCATTCATAGTTGTTTTACATGAGACCAATGTTACCTCTCCATCTATCTAATTTCGATGGAAAGGATGCTTGGCTATTCTTTTCGATAGATCGATGAATTGGTTGTCGTGAGTGATACGATCTATGATTACGATATAAACTAATTGAGCGTAGAAAATAAATAAAAAAAAGGGTTAAGGTTGGGATTGAACTCCCGACCTTCTACTTGGAAAGCGGAAACGGTAACCACTATGCTACCAATTTTGTTTTGTTGTTAGTCTGAAACAGTGTTGTGGAATAATGAATGAATACGCCGTTTGTAAAGCATTTACAAAGCATGCAATTAAAACATGGACGCATAGTGGTACAAGAGCTATTATGCTGACTGTATTCACCTTTATTCGGCAATATTGTTAAGCAATGCAATGAAATCTAATAATGGAGCTAAAAAACAACTATTAGACGTATAATAAAGCATGTTATTAAATCAATTGAAAACAGTCGAATTAAAGCGTCAATGTATGTGCAAATTACACTTATTCAGTATGTTATTAGATCAAACTTCTGGTGTTGAATCAGGAAGACAGTCGTCGTTTGTATAGCTTTTATTAAGTATATTAATCAAATCAAAGCAAACAGCGGAATAAAGGCGCATCTATCGTTCTCAATGAGTTTTTTCAGCACATAATTTGACAACCCATTTTATTCAGCATTGTACACTGTTATAAAGCATTTATTCAATATGTATGCTTATTTGTGACTCTGAATTGTTTGTTGGGCAGTGTTCAAGCTGCCAACATAGGCTAGTCCTTCTGCTGTATTGTCAAAGATAGAAGCAAAATTTATTCAAATGGGTCAAGTCTTGAAAACTAAGCTGATACTCAATAAAAAAAACATCCCTGATTCAGAACTTATTTTCGTTAAATAATCTTAACTTACAGTGTCTGCTTTTTTTCAATTCCTTTTCAGATCCGCTATGCTACAGAGACGAGTATTATTATCTTTAACATTGCAGCTGTGCATCCGTTCGGTACTAGGATTGGGATGTAAGTACAATATTGGAATTATTTGCATCATAGTGTTATAGTTCTTTTTACCCTTCGTACAAAGAAGGGTGAACATATAGCTTGGAAAACCGACTGTCGATCTGAGGCCCGGAGGGCCAATTGTCATATACCAATCGACTCAGCTCGACAGGATCGGAATATGCGTGTGTGCGTCTGTTTTTTGACGTAGGATTACGATTTTCGGCAACACATTAAGGGTGTAATTTCAAATAATCAAAATCGACCGCATTACGAAAAGTGGTCAGGTTTTGACCACATATAACTCTGTCAATAGCGGATGCATTTTAATTCTAAACTACGAATCTGCTACAATGAACACTTTATTAATTTTCAATAGGTCACTATTGAAAATTACACAAATGTCTAACTGTTGCAATTGTGATCAAAATTATCACCGATTGCCTGTAAAAAGCGCTTTCCCTAACACAGATTTCAAAATCGAATTCCACCCAGTCTCACTGAACGGTGTTTATTCAATCACCGTGTGTGGTGGTGTCCGGTCGGTTATCATGATCAGCAGCAGCATCAGTGCTTTTAGCGTGTGGCGTTGAACATTTTTTTTTCCTTTGGTTTGTTTTTCCGTCGATCTTGTTTTTCGTGCTGAGCACCAATGCTACTGACGTGCCAGGAAGGCAGCTCCCACACCTGGACCCTACCTATCGACCCATCAACTCATGAACCGGGGACCAACGGCTTTACTTCCCATCCGAAGGAAGGCGTGATCAGAGATGTTATGCCTCAGAACATCCCGGCGGCGCCGACTGGGATTGAACCCAGGCCTGCTGGGCGTTGAACATTGTCACATAACATATGTGGAACTTCATGCAAAACTGCTGACTAAAAGTTGATCCTCTTTTTGTATTTCCTCAGTGGTATAACTGGTATAGTTGACATCGATCTGTCAAAATTAAATTTGCGTGATTCGACACTGAGTCTTCATATGGGCCAATGTCGGAAATGTAAGCAATGGATTCTTTCGTAAATATTTTGTAATTCAAAGTCAATCCATGTAACCCAGCATTTATATCAGCTATGGGGACTTTCCTTATACTCAAGCATCGTGGTGGCTTACTTGAACGAGTTTTCATTCTCAAGAAATTCGTGGAAAAGTCAGTGTTTACGTTTGTAAAATTGGCCATTATGAAAGAAAAACATATATTTGGTTGCATGCTCAGTACACGCTATTTGAAAACTACCCAAATTTGAGTAAAATCCACCCTGATCGTTCAAAACTGAATCTATCAAAAAATGGGTCAACTATGTTGGGAATGACAGGTTAACAATTGAACAACGTCGGTCGGATCCATGCCAATGTTGCTCATGTGTCAGCTTGTCACTCCCAACATAGTTTACCCATTTTTGAGTAGGTTCAGTTGTGATCGATCTGGAAGGATTCTACCCAAACTTGAGTAGTTTTGAAATAACGTGTAAGTATTGACGTTGACGGTGGCATTTTAACTCTTTACTCCTATGGTAAAATCCCGAAGTGATGCGGATTTTGTCTTATCTTTTCACTCCACCATGGTACCAGAGAGCCACCGTCTCTTCATGCAAAGATTCCCGAGCAGGAAAAAATAACTTATATGGTATTAGTGAGGCTGACATAAGAGGTAAAATACTAAAAATAATACCTCAAAAATGTTCTACGAATAACGGACTAATAAATAATTTAGTTATTACAATAACAAACGGATAACAGACGCTTTTTTGATGCCAGAATACCTAAGTTTGTTATTTTGAAGGTCTTCTAATACCAATTCAATAACTCTTTTAGGTGTTATTGTCTAAAAACTGAAAGACCATACATATTTTGTTATTTTGGTGTTCATTTTACATTTTACAAAATATTTCGATAACTGAATAATATCAAAACAAGGTTTTATACCACAAGCATACCGAAATCTGGTATCATACCACATTAAGATATTCATTTGTTATCGATTAGCTATCGGTTCCTGCTCGGGTTAACATGATCTTATGAGATTTTTCACTGGAGTGAAAGGGTAAGGTAATGTCTAACATGTTTCTCGCACAGACTGACGTTTGCTTATGGGGTTTTACCATAGGAGTAAAGATACACAGAGTGACCGAAAAGGATAATTGTCAAGGTAATGCGGCCATTCTTTTTTAGACTAGCTCTAGGGAACAGGGGGCTTATAAAAGGATTTAGAAACATTCAATTTTACGCAATTGAGAAACATAGAAAGGGGTGAAACCTTGGGTATTACAGGTATTGTTAAGGGCTCGATTTCATTTGTCATCCTTCTTGCAAAATTCTTGTGAATGGAAAGATGCAAGGTCAGCTCAAAACACTGCATATTTTCCACAATATCAAGAGATTTATGTCTGTTTTACGTATTAATTCCAAGAAGAAGAAGTTCTACTACAGCTATCAAATGAACAAGGCTTCGAAGAATCGCCAGCAAATATACTTCAATTTTTCAATGCACACTATATTTTCTTCAGTATCCAGCTCTTTTTATACAGGCGGTAGAACTTTGACAGCTTCTTAAGGTTTGCAATACTTAGAGCAACCGTACCAATGAGTAAATAAGGCACATTTACCAACCTCTACCATAACGCTACTTGCGTACCTGGAGTTGCTATTCAGGTGGGGGAAATAGCAATCCGCACCTTGGGAAGTAGTGAGTTCATGAATTTACATTTCAGATGGTTGCTATTTTGAATAAACGTCAAAAGTTTGTTTTGCCGGTGTGGAAAACGGTAACTTAAATTATGACTCTGATAGCAACGACCGGTGTGGAGAGGAGTGATTAAGCCAAAATGGCGTAAGTAAAATAGTGCACAAATAGCAACGACTGGTACGGTTGCTCTTTATATAACCAGGACACTTGTTGCAAAATGTTGGTGCTTTAAACTGTATGCATCAAACTCCAAATTTGTGCGGTCGTATTGTTCCTCCTACGTTATGAAATGAAATCAAAGTTTGATGCAATTGGTTCCAACAAAAAAAAAATTAATGGAAGAAAATGGTACATACATTTGTCATCAAAGTTTAAAATAGAGAAAGAAAATGGAAAAAAATTACCCACGCTAATTTGGTCATAATTACAGAAAAGCAATACTTATCGCTTTCAAAATTGAATTGTAAACAGTTAACACATGGCAGCTTAAAATTACGTTTACTCTTCGTGAGTCGTTGTGGGCCATCTATGCCAAGCACGTTACCCTCGTTCCAAACAAAATACAGCTCACCAGCCTCATCTGTGTGTTCACTTAATAGTTCAGCATTACTCAACCATCACGACAAAACGGTTCTTTTCAAGACCACCATAAATTTGTTGAAGAGTTAATTTTCATTGAACGTTCGCTCGCCTTGATGCCAGCCACATCACCCCCAGCTCTTTGATAATGTATCCAGCAACAAAACGTTTGTGGTCAAATGCGTCAAGTATTGAAGTGGTACACACAAACACTTCGAATTAAGGTAAAGTTTTCTCTAGGACGCTAGAAAAAAGAAAAAAAAAATCTCGAATGTAAAGAAATTGATCCAATCAATTTTCGCTTTCTTTTATTTTCTATTGAATAAATCAAAAATTCCGTGCGTTTTGAACACGAAAATGCGTAATTTAGTCATCAGAAAACGAGCCTTTGATGGGAAAAAGTGGTTTCCCTAACACAGTCACGAATATTGATACCGAGCACTGAGCATGCCAGACGGTACCTACTATAGATTTATGCCTTTTGATACAAATTTTAAGCCCTTCCTATTAGGAGAAAAATCTTCCGAATTCTCTTAATGGAAGGGGCTTAAAATTTGCATCTCTCCATTTACGCAGCAGTTCCGCCATAATCTGCGTGCTCTGTTGACGGCATTCCAAGTGCCCTTCTCTCGTCACATTTCATCGACGACATTCTTCATGTTAAGGAAGGACATCACTGCCTCGAACCTAGGACAGTCGAAGATAACATGCTCCGGCGTTTCATCGACGTTGCCACACTCCGGACAAAGGGGTGGCGCTGCGTGTCCGAACCGATGCAGGTATTTCCTGACGCAGCCGTGGCCCGAGAGGAACTGCGGTAGGTGGAAGTTGACTTCTCCGTGTTTTCTGTTCAGTAAGGTCGAAAGAATCGGTATTAGTCGTAATGTCCATACACTTCTCTGCAAGAATCCCACACACCGCACTAAAACGTCCTTGGACGCCTTGCCCTTTTCCCCCGGAACCAATATTACTTCGGAGGGGGCCGTGCATTACGCACCTCACTTTACCTCAGCTAATTGGCGCTTCCAGTTCGCTGATCGTCTTTCCAATTTGTGAGCCATTTAGCTCCCAGCATCGCGTTCTACTCGGTTAACCCCGGTGGTGGATTCAGCCTACTCTGATGGAGAGTTCTCTCGGCTTCGGCTTTCACTTCGCACTTGTGTGAGCACATTACTACTTTCTAGCTGGTCCTCTCGCCATTTTCGCTGCAGCGCTGCGTTACTGCTCTGCTGACGGCGTTAAAGGTGCCCTCCTCTCGACACATTTCTTCGACGAAATTTTCCGTGCTAAGGGTTAGCATCTCCTCTCGCACAGCATCAAATCTAGGACATTCGAAGACCACGTGCTCTGGTGATTCTTCCACATTCCCACACTCCGGACAGAAGAGTGACGTTGTGTGTCCGAACCGATGCAGGTACTTCCTGAAGTAGCCATGACCAGACAGGAACTGCGTCAAGTGGAAGTTGACTTCTCCATGCTTCCTGTTCATCCAGGTCGAAAGAATCGGTATTAGCCTGTGTGTCCATCTACCGTTCTCTGCTGCATCCCACTCCTGCTGCCACTTAGCCATCGACCCCGTTCTCACCATTTTTCGTACTCCTCTGGTTTCTTTCGTCATATAGCACTCGTAGTCCTCCGCCAAGGTGATGCCGATTGGGATCATACCGGCGATAACGCATACTGCCTCTAACGAAATGGTTCTGGACGCACTCACGACTCCCATGGCCATGAGCCGGAATGTACTGCTCAATTTCC